TACATTTAAATGTAATGAGTAATGAATAATACCTGCTTTCAACTGTCCTCTGTAAAATGAACCAGCAATATATGTGCACCCATGTTCACAGCAGCACAGTTTGTAATAGCTAAAACTTGGAAACAGACCAATTGCCCATCAACTGGAGACTCGATAAAGAAAATGTGTTATTTGGTTTGGTTTGGTTTGGTTTGGTTTTGGTTTTTGAGACAGGGTTTCACTATGTAGTTGAGACTGACCTGGAGCTCACTGTGTAGCCCAGGCTGGTCTCGAACTCACAGTGATCCTCCTGCCTCAGCCTCCCGAGTGCTGGGATTACAGGCATGAGCCACCATGCCTGGCTAAATGTGTTTTTATTTTAATAGAGTACTACTCAGTCATAAACAATGAGAAATTAGAGACACTTATAGCTAAATGGATGCACATTGAGGTGATATTCTTAAGTGAAATAAAGAGGATACATATATTTTGATCACATCTCATAAACACACAGAAGAAGACTTCCAGAACTGCTTTGAAAAGTGTCAAGAATGATGGGATAATTATGTGAGTACCATACAGTTTCTCTGGTGTGAAAAACTCAACGAGTAAATAAGGATCTTAAGGACTAATAGATAATGTGAAATAGGAAGACAAAGTCCAAAGGAAAAGGGGAAGTGGAAGGGGTTGGGGAAAGGAAAGAAGGGAATGGAAATAATATGAGAAAATGAAAAAATGCAAACAGTCTTTGTAAATAGGGAGGGGTGGAGAGATTGAAGGGAGGGCAGGGGAATGAGGAAAAATAAGAACCAAGATAGAATACGTTTAAGGTACAAATTTCCAATGATGAATGGTCATTATACTGTATACCTAAAATGTAGCATTAAAATTAATAATTTAAAAAATGAATTTGGTATGGCAGAAGTGAACAAAGGGTTTACAGTTGGGCATCAAAAGGTACTTAATGGAGCTAAGGTGCATACTCATGCAATCAGGATTTTAGTCTGGGAAGTTTTTCATAGGAAGCTTATGAGAAGTTTAGGTCTTAAAATTGATAATGACTCCTCAAATGAAGAAAGGTGCTACTGGCATGGAGGGTCAGTACATGAAGGCACAGGGAGGCAAAGAAAATAAAAAGCTATCTGAGGTCTGTTAATTTTCCAGTGAAGCAAAGCAGAGTTGAAGGGATGAGGACAATGGTAATGAAACAAGCAAGAAGTTCTCTTAAGCAAAAGCAAAGGGTATTTTTGGACAAGAGACTAATTAACTTTTAGGTTAATTATTAGTTCTATGCAAAAGGAAAATTAGCCTGGTCCCAGGCTAATTATTAATAAATAAAATTATTTATTTTAATTGTTCAAAATATGAAGGTCTATACCAAAATAATATCAGTATATAGGGGGAAAGGAGGGATTGATTCCACAGACATTAAACAGGGTCAAAATAGAACTTTTCTTTTTAAAGGCCAGGGATTTAGCTCAGTGGTTCTGTCACCTGCCTCATAAGCACAAAGTCCTGAGTTTGACCCCCGGTACAAAAAAAAAAAGTATATGCTCTCATTGTGTGTGTGTGTGTGTGTGTGTGTGTGTGTGTGTGTGTGTGTGTTAGACTGGCAGACGAAGATCACAGGGGTAAAGTAGAAATGAGGGTACGAATCTAAAAACAGCTCTAATTTTTTTCACTCAGCATCGGGGTTCAACAATGATGTTTAAAGCGATTTTTCCAAAGGTCCGTGAATGTCTGAGGTAACATACTACCTTACATTAGTAAGACGTAATACACATACCTGCTTATATTAATAACCACAATATAAATAATTTGGCTATTTAGGAACCTAATGATGTGCTGTTTAAAATGTTTCAGTTTTCACTAATGCATAATAGATGCACTACTAATGAGGTTCAGTGTGAACCAATCAAATCCAGGCTCTATCCACCTCACACTCTCTTTCCAATCACTAGGATATATTTGAGTTGACATTTTTTCAAAGAATATATGGTATTTGCCTTTCTGTGTCTGGCTTATTTCATTAAAATAATGCCTTCCGGTTCCATTGTTTTGCTGCTAATGACAGGAATTCCATCTTCCTTTTGGCTGAATAACATTCCATTGCCTATGTATGTTAACCTTTCTTTATCAACTCATCTATTGATAGGTACCTAGGTTGATTCCTAGTATTGTGAATACTGCCTTATTAAACATGGTTATGCAGGTATCTCTTTGGTATGCTTACTTTCTTTTGGATACATGTCCAAAGTGGGTTAAATGAATTGTAAGACAGTTAGTTACTGCTTGCATGTCCAACTTTTTGCCTTGTCTGGGCCACAGTGAATGAAAAGAAGTTGTCTTTGGCCACATAAAAAATGCATAATATATTTAACATATATAAACAAGAAAAGTTTCTTTATCTTTTAATATTGTTATTACATAGTTTTTTAAAAAGAAGACAAGAAGCCCAGAGGCTATGAATTGGATACACCTCAAAGGTCTTTTTTTGGAAATTATCCCCAAAGGACAGGAAACAAAAGCAAAATCAGACTAATATTATAACATCAAACCAAAAGGTTTCTGCACAGTGAAGGAAACAATCAACAGTGTGGTTTCAGTTGTGGGTGAACAGCCTACTTCCTAGAGCAAACCTAAAGCACCAAGGAAATAATATGAAACAGTAGCTTTGACAGCAATGAACAGGCTTGTTCACATCTTGTTTTCACGATGAGCAACACAGTAATCTTCAAAACTTTTTAATGACATGAGAAATTTATTATACTCATCTTTATAGCAAGTAAAATCCAGTACATAAAATGTCAGAAAAACATTCTCAATCCATAAGGAATATGGTACAACTTTCACAAAGCCAAAATTAATAATTAGATACTTAAAGAGAATCATAACACAAATGGGAATTGAATTATGGTTGCAGGTTTGGAGGAAACTAAAAGAAATGTTTAGTTTGAATTACTTCTCAAATTAACATTGTATTATTGTGTTTTTATATCACTTATGATTGTGTCCCCTCATGAATCCAATACCACTTGTCCTTGTCAATGCTCAGACCAGTGGTAACAATCTGGTTGAAAAATAGCGCAAAAAATCAGTCACTAAGAAATCCTGTTTTCCACTCAAGAAGACAATCTCTCTCTTTGAAGTACTAACCAGGCCCGATCCTGCTTAGCTTCCAAGATCAGACAAGAAGACGATCTCTATTAAAAGATTCCCCTACTGATTTCCTCTATATATTTGCACTGGGGAACTGTTTGTCCTTCAGGACAACCAACTGAACATTTAGTAAAACTGAATAAGTATGATCAAATTTAGGATATAGCACCATGCTTTTGTGCCAACTTCAAGTCAACCGTCAACTAGAATCTTAGCCATTCCAACTGATAAATGTTTTAGCTTCACTATGCTTTACCAATAATATAAAAAAATAGAACCTCATTCATAGACTGTTAGAAATAAATGCTCATAAGGCACTAGTCTGAATTATAGTAAGTTTTAAATACATATTGATGGAAAGAAAGTATTAACAACTCTGTGAAGTAATGACTTAACGCTCTTATTTCACAGACTGAGATTCTGAGAAAGTCACCAACTCCCTCATTCAAAGTCATATTTCTCCAGAGTATTGTGAAAACAAATATGAAACACAAGTCTTCTATGGCAAGTTCATTGCTCTGATTTTTTTCATCCTTTCAGCAAGGAAAGAATTACTATAAATACTGTACTGAGCTTACACCTTGACCATCAGTCATGAGGGTAACATACAGAAGAAAACAAAAGGAAAGTAGTCACTATAAAGAGCTTGCCACTGTAATTCTGCAGATTATCAAGTTTAGAACAAAATCTATAAGAAATGGTTAAAACAACCAACATAATATAGAGAAGAGAGAATGGAAAGAATTACTTCCTATTATCAAATTCATAACGAGGTGGTTTAGAATATTATGTACAATTAAGTTTGCAAGGTTAATTTAATTATTTGAATGCAAAATTTAAATGCAACAGAAATATTAAAGTTGCAAAAGAGATTCCTGGCTGCCAATTTTGAGATCTGATAGGGTGGAGGTGACTTGAGGTATGTAAATCTGATGGTAAGGAGGAGTACTTAAGAAACTGATTTATGATTCATAGATGAATTTCTACACTTACAAGGAAGATGTTGTATGGAATAAAATCTAAAGACTTGTTTTTTTTATTTTTTTTGCAACAGATACTAAGTTATTACTACCAAAAAAATTATTATCTCATAAAATTTTTATCCCAGTGCACAATCTCCCAGTTACTAAATGACATATTAGCGTGAAATAATGCAGTTTAGGAATTAGATACTCCCAAATTCTGCTTAGAAACTGAACCCCTGACTCACTGACCCTCATGGGAAAAGGAAAAAAAATCTTAAATGCCTATTTCTAGATGGTTATATGCCATATTGACAAAGTCAATCTATCATAAAAAAGGAGTCTATTGTCATCTAATAGCAAAACAAGAATAGTGTCTAAATTTCACATCAACATAGTTATACATTCACACCAGGGGGCGCTCTTAACACTAAAATGATGGATTACATATTTTTGAAACACGGTGGTCTCAGATTTGGCCAGCTATGTGGTACTTTAAATAAATACTTATCTCTTGTGGCAATACACACAGTTTCTTTTGCATCCAACAGTTTACACTGTTAAGATTATCAAGTTAGTCTAACAAGTAAAACATTTCTGCTGATAGAAAATATTTTATTTTGGAAACTGTCTTAGATTGGCATCTGTGTCTTACTCTTTCTGTAGTTGTACTAATAGTCAACAATAAACACAGTAATAAAGAGTACATATTTCTTTCTTAGTTAAGTTTCAGGATGAACTTTATTTTTGACAAAATTTCCTATTAGACTTTTAGGTTTTCTTTTTTTTTTCTTCATAAACAAAGGACAAGTGATTCTCAAATGGTATCTAAAATTGAAATTAATAGTTATTGAAATGCTAATCTAGGTAATAGGAGCCTTTTCCATATTTTTTCCTTACCTGGCAGAGACAATGAAACCCAGATGCTCTCCTCAGAAAGATCAAGATTTGGCTTCCTAAAAATATAATCAGAAAACCAGCATGAGGCTTCAGAGATATAAAAAAATGAAAACTTACTGTAGGCTATTTTAACCACAGAAAAATCACCATATACCATTCCATCAAAAGTAAATATTTTAAAAAAGTAAATATTTTCATATAAAGGGAATCTGGTTAAAATACATCTTGTGAAAATTCAAAGTTGAAATGAAAGTCTCACAAAGTATTGTGAAAGGATAAGAGGATACAAATCTGTGATCCCACAGGTGAGAAATAGTTTGTAAGCTTTTCTCAACACATGTAGCTGAGAATTCTCCCTTTTCTATCAGCTACCTCACTCCATGAGTCAGTATCTACCTGTAGCTGAGAAACAGAGTATTCTGGCAAAGGTTCTTCTGGTCACACGGATAGTAGTCAGGTGCCTCTGTGATGTGAATTCAGGAAACAGCAAAGGCTTCTCTACTGTTTGTGCTCTAAACCAAATTCACCAATATGCTAAAACCTCAAATACTACTGAAAGAAAATTTATTTGATAACAATAATAAAGCATTACAATATCTTTTAAAAGATACATTTTTTTTAATTTTATTGAGTTTATTGGTACATTTAGGGATACGGTACAGTTACATTCATTGTTGGGATCATGTACCTTTACATGTCAAGTCTTGATTCTCATTTTTTCCCCTTACCTCTGACCTCCCTTCACCCCCTCCTCCCCTCCCCATCTACAAACACTTTATTTTCATCTTTTCATTCTCTCACATTTTTTTCTTTTCCCTTTTTGTTCTTCCCCTATGCATCACACCTTCCCTACACCTTTAGCTCCTTTCTTCCCATTTCTAAATGTCAGTAATCTTATTAGAATCTTATGCATTGTTGCAGAATATTCACACCAGGGAAACTATTTGGTATTTACACATGTGGGACTTATTTATTTCACTTAGGAGTATATCTTCAATATGTATCCATTTTCCTATGAATGAATCTATTCTCTCGCTCTTTGTGGCTGAGTAATATTCCATTTTATAGAAAAACCACAACTTCTTTATCCAGTTTCCAACGGATGGGCAAATAGGTTGTTTCCAAGATTTAGCTATTACAAACTGTGCCGCTATAAACATGGGTGCACATACTTCTCTGTGATATGATTCTTTTAGTTCTCTTGGAAAGATACCCAACAGAGGGATGGCTGGGTCAAATGGAACCTCCAGTCCAAGCTCTTTGAGGTATCTCCATATTGATTTCCATAATGGTTGCACCAGTCTGCACTCCCACCAACAATGGAGGCGGGTTCCTTTCTCCCCACAACCCCGCCAACATTTGTTATTGTGTGATTTCTTGATAGCAGCCATTCTTTGTGGGGTGAGGTGGAATCTCAGTGTTGTTTTCATCTGCATCTCTCGAATGACCAGTGATGTGGAACATTTTTTCATATATTTTCTTGCTGCTTTTACTTCTTTGTATGAGAAATGTCTGTTCATTTCGGATGCCCATTTTTGGATCGGGTCTTTATATTTGGGGGGACTGATTGTTTTGAGTTCTTTATATATCCTTGATAATAGTCCTTGTCTGAGGTACAGCTGGTAAAAATTTTTTCCCACATTGTAGATTGTCTCTTAGTTCTGCTAATGGTTTCTTTTGAAGTACAAAAGCTTTTTAGTAAGATGAGATCCCAGTTGTTGATTCTTTCTGCTAGTTCCCGTGCTACTGAGGATTTGTTCATAAAGTCCTTTCCTATACCAATGTCTTCCAGAGTTCTGCCTAACTTACCTTCCAGCAAGTTTAATGTTTCTGTTTTAATATTTAGATCTTTAATCCATTTGGATTTTAATTTAGTGCGTGGCGAAAGATAAGGGTCTAATTTTAATCTGTGGCAGGTTGATATCCAGTTTTTCCAACACCATTTATTAAAGAGGCTAAAAAGATACATTTTTTTAATACTTTAAAAATACCAATAAACTCAATTAAAGCTGAAAAAAAATATGCATGAATGATAGCAACTCCAACTCCAGCAAGCAGATTTTAACATGGTCTTGGAGACCATGGGGGATGTTACAGGCAAGTAACTCCTAACTTGTTAGATGAGCCCAGTTCCTGTCTTATGGTACTGTTAAATCGGTGGGAGGACCAAAGAGGTGAAGAATATGAGAATTTTATTAAGAAAAAACTTATGGGAGGAAGGAGGGGTTTCCGAGAGAGGGTTGCCACTGAGCTCTTTCTCTGGCAGGTTTTGATACAGATTACCTTGGTTCACACGATAATCAACCAATAGGGTCACAAGCACAGCAGTCACTTAGCTAATACTGATCTAGTAGGAAAGCAATGCATCTGGAAAACAAAGGCATTTCTGAGAATACGAGTGTCTTAGTTACTTTTTCTCATTTCTGAGACAAAAACCAGACACCCAAAATTAAAGGAGGGAAGGTTTATTTAGCTCATAGTTTTCAGAGATTTCAGTCTATAATGTATTGCCTCCAAGGCAGGGTAGAATCACAGAAAAGAAACAATTCATGGTGGCCGAAGGTTGCAAAGCAAGCAAGAGATGACCACAGCTCTTTGCATGCCTTGTATCTTTATCTAGGCTACTTAGGGCAGGTAGCACTCACACCCTTAATCCTAACGCCCTTGATCCTAGCCCTGCATGATGAGTCAATCCAAACATCACACACTCTAGATCCAGCCATTTCTGAAAAAGGCACACCTATGACTGCATGAGGCCTTGTGGGACAGACAGAAACTATAAAGAGTGAGAATCAGAGTGTTCTGGTCATCTGTGTGTTCATTATATTGTTTCTATGTGTTTACATTGTTTAAGTTTATTAGACTAGATGGTGCTGATTACAGAACAGCTTTGAGCTGCTGTTTATCTCTCTCTGGGAAGGCTTCCATGCCTAACCACTGTGGCTCCATCTTGAGGTCTAGTTTCTATTAACTCAGCACATGACCACAGGCCTGGTTTGCATCATCTCTGTTCCGACTCTGCTTTAAGCCTGGTCCCTTTCTAACTGCCTATCACTCTCTACTCAGCTTGGCTACCTACAATATGGGGGCAGGAAGAAAATGAACACATAGGATGAAAGGAGAGCAAGCTACAAGAAGAAAATTCTACAGGAAGGGTATACTGGGAGATGAGTGAGAGGACAACTGTTGCCTGCGTTATAATACTTCTGGATCTGTGAAAGGAAACAAGCACTCAAACATTCACTAAGGTACATGCAACTTAGTTCAATGAGACACACAACATCTGATATGCAACAACCTGGCATGTGCAAAAGATTCATGAGTTTCTATCAACAGAAAAGTAAGAACATTCTATGTGGCCATTCTTATTAGAAGCAGATTCTGAAGCCGTTGCAAAGAGACAGTTTTCTCATAAACAGAAAATGGTTGGCAGAGGGCCAAAAAGTGACTTGTACTATATGTGAGATCAGATCCTAGTGCCAGGTAAACGTAAGAATATTAACAAAGAAATAGCAACGTTTTTTTAAAGTCTTGGGAAAAATAGTTCTACCAGCACTTAAGATTCCAGAAATAACAAAGGTGCTGGATATACCGAGACAAGAAAAAATTAACTGTATTTATTCAGTCAGCCAGCCATTTATCCAATTTAAGGAGCACCTATTTATGTGCCAGGCACACTCTTAGGAACTTGGAATATAGCGTGGAACAAAGCAGAACCCTGTCCTCATGAAACTTACATTCCAGAGTGGAATAGAGACAATGAACAATTAATATAAGAATTATAAAATGCTGTGAAATGAGAAGTACTATGCAGAAAAGCCAAACAGACTGTACCTACCAAAAAAGAGTTGACTAGTGTAGACCTCATCTCTAATATTTCGTGTATGGAATAGCATGGTGGGAACGGAAGGAGTCAGCCACACAGGCTGAGAAAAGGAGAAAGAGGGCTCCCCCAAAGGGAATGACCAGCAAATGGTCCTGAGGTGGAAGGGTTCCTCTCCTAGTCAGAGAACAAGGAAGAAATTAAAAAGAGGAAAATAGTAGAAGAGGCTAGAAAATAACTTAAAAAAAAAAAGGGGACAGACTATGCAGCTTTTACTGAGAATAGAACAGAGTTTTGAAAGAACGGAGTGAAATGGCCAGAGTTCTAAGAGATGAGAGAATTTTCTGAAAAACTAGATATTAGTATAACTGAATGGAAAGAGTAAGATGATACAAATGATATGAGCAGCTAAGAAAAGAAAACAGACATTTAATGATACCAAGAAAATGTGGCAAAACAGGTAACAGGAGGCAAACAACTACTTGCGCTTTGGATGTGTGAAATTTGAGATTCCTAGTAAACGTACCCAAGAGGAACAATACAAGTAACTAGTGCTATCAGTATGGAATGTAGAGAAGATCAGGTTGGGGATATAAAACAGGGTTTTTCCTTCACTGACAGAATTTAACACCATGAATACAGGGGAAAATGACAAAGAAGATGGGCAGAGAACCAGTCCTAGGGTGGACATTCTTAAGTATCCCACTCGCTTCGTGTTCTGCTGTTCATGTCTCTGTGTGATTCCCCTCCTATAGGCCCTATAACCTGTGCCTAACCAACAGAATCCATGAATTAAATGACAAAAAGAACATAAATTACAGTGTGGTTACATTATCTCATTACCTAAAATTATAGCTCCTATTGTTCTGGGATTTTTCCCCTACAAGCCAACTCCTGTGAAGTAAGCACCTTTCCTTAATGGCAAGGAACCGAGGTCTCCTCTAGCTGCCAGTCTGCAAAGCCTCCAGCCTTCAGCCAACAAAACAAAAGGCCCTCCCAGAGCATCAAGCAAAAGCGATCTACCAACTATCTGACTGCATCTGGAAATCAGATGACATCCCAGTCTTTGACAGAGACTTGCAGAGCATCCAGTTAAAATGTGCCACACTCTGTGAGCTCTAAATGTGTGTGGTTTTAAAGTAAGTTTGAGGTGATTTGTTTCACACCAGTAGAACAATAATATCAGTTCTAGGCTACTCCATCATTTATACTTCAAGAAGATATGAAAGAGTAAAGAAATGATCAAGAAAAAAATGTCCAGGGAAACAGAAAACAAAAGAAAAGCCAAGGCATATGACCAGCTTCCACTCAAACAAACAAAAGGCAAAGGGCAAGTTGCTGACTTTCCAGAAGTTGCTAGGTGGTCAGCAATCTGAGGGACACATGCACCCAGGCCCAGCTACCTCCACGCTATCCTCAGAGTATTCTGCTTTACTCCGCCTGTAAGAGAAGGTGGGAAGAGGCAGTGATGCTGCATGGGAACTGGTAGAAGCTGGAAAGCTGTTCAATTCTTTCTGCCACAGACACACATTCACTAACAGTACCAGTTCCCACAGTGGAAAAATTCCAGCTAACTTCTAACACTGACGAATTTTTCTGTAATTTTTTTAAAGGGAGAGGGTCCTTGCAATCTAGCCAGCTGTTCACTGCTAAGTAAATGACATTCAGCCTTATTAAACTTCTCAGAAGACCCAATTAGTGCCAGAGCTGTACTGCTTCACTGTTTATGAGGCTTTGAAGGTTGGTATTTCAAAACTGGCTAACAATTCCAATCAAAGTTGGCACATTTTAATTACTAAGTAGTTTGCATAACTTATTTTTAAACTTTTCGTTGTTATAAGACATGTTAGATTGGCTTTTAATTTTCCTAAAAAATTCAATAGAACCAAATCTAATGAGCAAGTACGATGACATGGACATGAGTTAATTAGGTTAACTTAGCGAAAGAAGCTCCCTGCTACTTTTTGTAAAATTGAAAATTTGTATGCAAACTTATACTATTTATAAAGTACTGCCACACAGATTGTTGTGCCTTAATATTATCAACACTGAGTGTTTATCTAGATTTATCATGAGCATCCCACTTTCATGTAATAGTTTGAAAGCTATTTCTCCTCCATTCATTCAATGAAGATTTATTGAACACTTAGTCACACAGATAGACAAGTTTGATTTAAAAAATAATGTAATGCTATTTTAGAGGACAAGTCTCGAATGTATCCCACCTTTGACATACTTTATACATGTCTATGTTCATATATAATGTGCAATGTATAAATATATGTACTCAAATGTGTACAATACACACATATATATACGCATATATACCGTGAAATACAACTCTTGTCACTTTTGTCATGTACTTTTCTCGAGGTTTTGTTCCATTACCAACGCTAAAAGATTAAATCGATTGCTCCTAAATTCCACTTTAGCAGTCATTAGTCACAGTAATGTCCCTGACACTGTGAGTCACAGAAAAGTCTAAAACTGAATCAAGGCACAGAGGAGTTTTCAACATCTTATTATTGGCACCTTTCATATTTCCTTTTATATGCCTCTCCTCATTTGAATGTGTGCTTCCTCATGCCAGAACTTCCTAGTAGTTTTTCATTGAAGCAACTTCTAGGATAAATATTCAAGAAACATTAATTGGCTGATTACAACTTTCTAAAATGATCTGAGGTGGCAAGCATGCAAATGGAAATATACAGTTAAAAGAATCAAATGAAAATATACCATATATATATATAT